GCACAAACATGAACATGAGTCTGTGAGCAGATGTGCACGCATGAACAAATCAACATTGAAACAGATCAGCAGCAACATGAAACAGATCAGCAGCAACATGATGTGGTTTTTCACAGTGATTATTCTAGTTAGAGATTCATGAGTCTAACAGCCTCAGGGTAGAAGCTGTTCCTCAGTCTAGTGGTTCTACACTTAATGCTCCTTAACCTCCTTCCTGAGGGGAGTGGGGCAAAAAGTGTATGTGCTGGGTGAGTGGGGTCCTTCATGATGCAGGTGGCCCTCTTCCTGCATCTGGAGGTGTAGATGTCTGTGATGGTGGGGAGACTGATTCCAACATCTTCTGTGCAGCCTTCACCACTCTCTGCAAAGCTTTTCTTTCTGCAGCTGTGCAGACTCCATGCCACACGTTGATGCTGGAGCACAGGATGCTCTCCACTGCACACCTGGAGAAGGAGGTGAGGACTGAGCTTCCCAGACCAGCTCGCCTCAGCCACCTGAGGAAGTAGTCTCTGATGAGCTTTCTTGATCAGGCTGGTGGTGTTGTTGCTCCAGCTGAGGTTGTTATTCATGTGTACACCCAAGTACTTGTAGCTGTAGGTATGAACTTGAAAGAAGAGGAATGAATGTCAGCCGTAGTAAGACAGAGTCCATGTGTGTGAATGAGAGGGAGGAGGTGGAACAGTGAGGCTACAAGGAGCAGAGGTCACAAAGGTGCAGGACTTCAAGTACTTGGGGTCCACTGTCCAGGAAAATGGGGAGTGTGGTAAAGAGGAGAAGAAGAGAGTCCAGGCAGGATGGAGTGGATGGAGAAAAGTTTCAGGCGTGATTTGTGAAAAAAGAGTGTCAGCAAAAGGTCAAAGGAAAAGTTTACAAGGCAGCGGTGAGACCAGCTATGTTGTATGGTCTGGAGACAGAGACATGGACAAAAAGACAGGAGACAGAACGGGAAGTGTCAGAAATGACGATGTTGAGGTTCTCCTTAGGAGTGACAAGGATGGAGAAGATTAGGAATGAGATCATCAGAGGTACAGCACAGGTTGAACAACTGGGAGATAAAGTTAGAGAGGACACACTGAGATGGTTTGGACATGTCCAGAGGAGGGACAGTGGTTTGGACATGTCCAGAGGAGGGACCGTGGGTATACTGGTAGAAGGATGTTAGAAATGCAGCTGCCAGGAAAAATACAAAGAGGAGATGTATGGATGCAGTTAGAGAGGACATGGAGGTAGTTGGAGTGAGGACAGGATGCAGAGGACAGAGTGAGATGGAGGAGGACGACTCTCTGTGGAGACCCCTGAAGAGGGAAAAACCGTAGGTAGAAGAAGTACAAGTAACTCTGGTATGATCCTTCATACTGACATGAAATGGACATGTGTTGACATGTCAGAGTCAGAGATTCGAAATTATATACACAGGGTCCCAGTTACATCCAACAATAAAAATGTAAAAGTAAAAAATGATAACATCTGAGATATGAACTAAGAAAAACATCAACTAAAAATACACTAAGCACTAATAACATAAAAACAATACGTTGAACAACAGCATGAACACATCAACATGAAACAGATCAGCTAGCTGGCTGGCTGGCTGGCTGTATGTCTGTATGTCTGTCTGTCTGTCTGTCTGTATGTATGTATGTATGTATGTATGTATGTATGTATGTATGTATGTATGTATGTATGGATGTATGGATGTATGGATGTATGGATGTATGGATGGATGGATGGATGGATGGATGGATTGATGGATGGATGGATGGATGGATGGATGGATGGATGGCTGTATGTATGTATGTATGTATGTATGTATGTATGTATGTATGTATGTATGTATGTATGGATGTATGGATGTATGGATGGATGGATGGATGGATGGATGGATGGATGTATGTATGGATGTATGGATGGATGGATGGCTGTATGTATGTATGGATGGATGTATGTATGTATGGATGGATTATTGCACAATTTAACACGTCATAATTTTGCTCTGGGACCGCAGTCCTTCTTCTCTCATGGCAGAAAGAGTTATGAATGTATTGCCTCTCAGTGGTCTGTAGGTGTAAATACAGTGAAATGCAGTTCTTTTAAAAACCGATTTAATTTTTTTATTATGAAAAATGTTAAAAATACTTACATACATGGCTCAGGATTACCTGGAATCATCCATTTTAAACTGTATGCCTTATCTTTTATCACCCACCATGAAAACGTGACGGCGGGCAGTAAAGTTTTGGCCTGTATCTGTTTGTTTGTTTGTTTGTTTGACCTTGCTGTTAGTAAATGATATTTTCACACGGACTTAAAGAAATCTTTCAGAGCGTAATCATCAGATGCACATCTACAACTTAAGGCAGCTAAAGTCATGTTGGAGTCGATTCAAGATGATCTCCACCTCAGAAAACACAAACACGGTGGTGATTCATTCAGTATTTAAAATCTGTTGTTGAAAAGGAGTCATTGACAACACATTCTTCAGGTGCTACTCACTGCGTGACATTTTATTTCCTGGAACTTTAATTTAAACTTTAAATTGAAACATTTTTTCCTGCAGCTCATTTATGAAGTTTAAACTCCTGCAGTTCGCACCATCCGCCGCTAGGGGGCGGTGGAGGCCAAAGGGCGGACATGAGACTCATCTGAAGCGGAGCAGGAAGTCGCTATTCACGGTACAATGGCGCCGTTAGACCTGGATAAATACGCGGAGATCGCTAAACAGTGCAAATACCTCCCAGAGAATGATCTCAAGGTAAATATTACGTTTGAAGATTTGTTTTGTGGTTGAAGTCGTATGATTGGTAGTTGTCGCTGACTGAGCCGGTGTAGCCTGAAGGCAGCAGCATTAGCTGGTGGAGGACCGGAAGTCCAGTCAACAGTTTGTGTTGGAGTCCGCGACAACACTCAACACTTTCTGCACTTTCTGCTTTCACATGACACTTTCTGCTTTCACATGACACTTTC